AAAAAAAAAAAAAAAAGCCACACAAAAGCAATGAAAGAGTCGCCTGGGCCAGACCCCGGGCCTGGGTGACCAGTGGAAGTGTAGCAAAGTTATAGTCAATTCTGACAGAGGGAAGGGGGAAAGTTTTGGGGTGGGGGCATATAGATTTTTAGGCTAGACGGGATCCTTGTGATCATCTACATTGGCCTCCTACGCATTGCAGGCTGCAGACCCTCCCCCTCCTGCAACGGACCCTTGTCTCTGCCTGGGATACTCAAGTCCTCATGTCACGATGCAAAGACGCCAGGTTTCTGAGACGCTGCCATTAATTCTGGTCCGAACCAGCACGTGACACATGCTCCCCGCTGCAGTGCACGGAGACCCCTGCAGGATCACTGCCGGTCTGACCAGGGAGAAAATTCCTTCCTGACCCAAATACGTGGATCAGCTCGACCTGGAGCATGTGGGTGAGATGCACCAGGCAGGCAGCAGAGAGTGAATTGTCTGTAGTAACTCAGAGCCCTCCCCCTGCAGTGTCTCTTCTCCAGCCACTGGGGACAGCGGCCGCTGGCACTCGCAGATCACCAACACGCCGTTGGCAGCAATCTCCTCCCACCGCCCCCTCTGTGCCCGTCTCTGGCTCGGTCCTGAGGCCAGTCCCGGGTTTTGCTCCCCACTGCTCCCGTGGAAGGAGGTTCCAGGTTTTGGCTCCGCAGCTGGTTCCTCCATCTGATTTGAAGCCTAAACGTGTTGGTGGCCAGTTTGCTCTTGTGCCAGCGCTTGGCCCTTCCCGTAAATCCCTCCTGTCCCTCCCCGGCATGTGGCCCTCTGCTGCGACCCTGTCTCCCTCCAGCCTGCGCTTGGTTTGGCTACACAAGCCGGGCTCCTGGCGTCTCCTCTCATACCTCTTCTCGGCACCTGGTCCCCTTTGAATTCCTCCTCCTCAAAGCGCGGGAGACCAGGGGTGCCCACGGCTTTGTGGAACAGGGCTCCCCAGTGCCTCGGCAAGTGGCACGAACACGTCCCTGTCACGAGGGCATGTCTGCACGGGGGCGGGGGAGTAATTTGAAATGCCCGCATGACCCAGCCCGTTGTTTGGAAATAGCAGCTCCTGCTTGCGAAGAGGAGCACGTGTCCTTCGGAACAGTCGGTTCGGGAGTTGTTACTGCGAACGCCCCGGTGGGCGTGGGCGGTGCCCTGCGGTGCCCCAGGACTGCATGCCGCATGGCACTGGCAGCGCATCCACACTGGAAAGTGCCAGGGAGCCGGAAGGAGGGTTTGGTGCAACGCGGCCTCTCCTGCTCCGGGCAGAGGACTCCTCTGCCGCGTCCTGAGCCCCGAAAGGCGCCGGGCGCCTTGCTGGACTGGGAGCTCAAGGCGCTACCTTCTGCGGCCGGATCCGGGCCTGGGGCTGGGAGCGGCCTCGCAGGAGGAGAGTGGTTTACAGATCCGCGAGGTGCAGCCAGGGACCCGGTAGAGTGGGTACAAGCCCCTCCCTGTAGAGCCCGGGGGTGGGGGACCAGGCAGACCTCAGACAGAACACGCTTTCTCCGCTCGCGTTCAGCCAGCCTGCGAGCTGAGACAGTCTCTGGCCGGGCCCGGCCGGCTCCCACAGCTCTCTGACGCACGCTCCCAGCACCCGCCCACGCTGCTGGGAGACGCAAGGGCGCCGTTAGCAGGCCAGCTGATCTTCAGCAGCCTTTGGCGTGGGCTGCCGATGCCCAGGGCCTTGCAGGATTCGGGGCTGGGAGCCGAACGCCCTGTGCAGAATGCAGCTGTGAGGCCGCTGGCGGTGACTCTGCACCTGCCTGGGGGACGTAAAGCTAAGGCGAGGAGGGCCTGGCTGTCTTGCTCGGGTGCACAGTTCAGCCTTTCAGTCCGGCCAGACGCCCATTTTTCAGGCCATATGCGACGCGTGGCTGGATACCCCACAGCGTGTGCGGTGGGCTGGACGCCAGCCTCCCCCCGGCCCTGTTCCCCTACTCTTGACACGGGGTCGCGCAGGGCAGGCTGCCGGAGGTGCTACCTTGCCAAGGGCCCGGGGCACGGGCCAGCAAGTTTCCACAAGACTGCGAAAAAGGGGAGCCTCTGAACGGCGCCCCGGGCGGCATGCTGCCTTCGCGGCTTCTAAAAACGCAGACGAGGCTCGGCCCAAACCGGAGAGGGAAACGGGCGCCCGGCTCCTGCGGGCCCAGACAGTCTCCTGCGTGGCTGGGGCGGTTAGGTGTCCGCAGGTTGGGCTGAGGAGAGTCTCATAACCTGCATGAGCCTTGACAAGATGCTGGTCCCTGCGCTGACGGCCTCCAGAGACGGAAGTGCTGCGCTGTGAAGCCATGGAAACGGCCAGGCTAGGTGCTCCGCGGTAATTGGGCCACTTCTCCTCACAGCACAGCCGCGCCGGCAGGTAGGCCGCCAGCTTTTTGTGTGTCGAAAATAGCAGCCCTGCTCTTCACGGCCATTTGCCAGATTTACAGGCTGGCCTCAGAGGGACGTGGGGCCTTCTGCTGATGGGATTTGCATGCGGCCGCAGCGCGAGCCCTCCCGGCCGTGCCTTGGCGCCACCCCTCGGCATTACAGCTGGGGCCATGCGGCGGGCCTGTCACACCGAGAGGAATTGGACACAGCTGGGCCGGCGGGCGAGGCGTCTCCTCCCTGGGCAGAATGCAGGCTGTGTGCAAGGAGCGCCACGAGGGAACGCACCCCGTCTCCCACGCAGGCAGAGCTTCAATGGCCTCTACTATTGCCCCGGGGCCACGCAGCCAGCAGGCGGCAGGAAGGCAGGGTCGGTTCCTCACCACAGTCGCGTACAATAGCGACAAAGCTCTCTCGGGGCCCCTCTCCTGCATGGGGGGGGGGACTGGTGCCTG